ATTCAGGCAAGTATTATTCCATACATGCATATAACTCAGTTTGTTAATAAAGATCATTGCAATTAACATTCTACCTATATGTCTGTAGATAGCTGGTGTGACCCCTTGCCACAGGTTCAAGGGCCACTCTTCTCGCACTATACCCAAAGCTGTGCTCAGCATGCCCCTGTGTTTTGGAGGCTGTACACTTCCACCATGCTGTCGGGAACCACCTTCACCCTGTATCTGAAGTCTGGTTTTAGTAAGGTCCAAAGGGAATGTGACTCACATAAAAATTGTATAAAAAAAAACACACACACACAGAAGACATGCACTTTAAATCAATTCTTAGAATAAATTGTAGATATTAATTATTATATAAATATATAAAATGTTTTTTTAAAAATTTGATATATTAAAAACTAGAAAGGATGTGTAGCTACCTAATTCTGCAACAGTTGCAGCACATGCTGACAGAGTGAACTTTGATACTCGGGGCCACCGCGAATTTTCTTGTACTGGAGACATTGCAGGTGTCCTCTGATTCCCACTGAAACACTCTTCTCGCACTATACCCAAAGCTGTGCTCAGCATGCCCCTGTGTTTTGGAGGCTGTACACTTCCACCGTGCTGTCGGGAACCACCTTCACCCTGTATCTGAAGTCTGGTTTTAGTAAGGTCCAAAGGGAATGTGACTCACATAAAAATTGTATTAAAAAAAAAACACACACACAGAAGACATGCACTTTAAATCAATTCTTAGAATAAATTGTAGATATTAATTATTATATAAATATATAAAATGTTTTTTTAAAAATTTGATATATTAAAAACTAGAAAGGATGTGTAGCTACCTAATTCTGCAACAGTTGCAGCACATGCTGACAGAGTGAACTTTGATTCTCGGGGCCACCGCGAATTTTCTTGTACAGGAGACATTGCAGGTGTCCTCTGATTCCCACTGAAATAAATTATGAAAGTAATTATACAACGATTTCCCAAAGAACCACGAACCTGGAGTGCATTCTCTTTAAATGTTTAGCCTACATTGTACAAGACAGGACTACGACCTTTAATAAGAGGCGAAGCCGTTTTTTAAGCCATGCCGGTTGGTCGGTGTACTTATACCGACCCCCTTACGTAATACGTTGCAGACTAGACTACAAAAGAAGCGTCAGGCACTTAAAACCACATTTCCCACACCAAAGGGGCGTCGACAAACATACGTAATTAAGCTACTTGCGTAAGACCGCCCGTCATTTTCGTAGGCATGCGCTTTTCGCTGGCATTAAAATTAATATTTAAATACTATTAAATAGCACATTCGCTATCTATCTATCTATCTATCTATCTGTCTGTCTGTCGCCTATTATCTTTTTTATATTTTTATACAGTCATATACACAATATTATATTAACGTCGAACTGTCGAATACACAAAAACATTTTTTAAAAAGCTCATTGGCTACAAACCAAATGTCACCGTAATAGCAGTAATCAGCAATAAATTGCTATTTACTGCCACCTGGTGTCTAATAAATGAAATTTCATATCTCAAACATTTATGGATGGACAGCATTTTCATGGAATGTTGCCAAGTAACTCTTAAAAACTGTACATTTTGTTGATATATGGCATCACTAAGCGCCATACAATTAGGGGACCTGCCATTCCAAGTGTATCCAAAAAAATCACTTTAGGTTAACAAATTACTTTGTAACCACTTGGTTAATCTAAAGAGGGCCGTTTAATGTGACGTCACACACACCCAAAGCCATCTATGGTAGAGCTTTCTCATTTCAATCAGCCTATAGTCAGCAGAGCGGCGGCACAAAACCACCACAAAGGTAAGTAGATTGATTATTTTACCGCTTTGGAATGTTTTTTGATATTAATGAGTTATTTATCCGAATACATGTTTTCCTAATGGAGTTATGGATTAATAATCCAGAATCTGAGTGCAAACCTCTTTGATGCAGTGTGAATAGATTTACTCACAAAAAGTGTTTGTTTGTTTATGTGTACGTTAGGGAATTCAATCTGTGTGATGATAGAATTCAAATTATATGCGATTCACAATTTGCTTTAATACAATATTTCACACATTTCCTTCACTTTCAGTGTTCAGATTCGTACTTCCGCATTGCTTAATCAAATGATAATCCTCGTGCTCCGTGAAAGCCGTGCTGCCGTTTATTAATTACGCCTCATTATGTTTAACCTACGGTATGGTATTAACCATGCGGGCCACACATGTCATTTTCTTAATCAAAATTCAAGATGATAAGTAATTATAGTCTTTATATGGTCAGCATCTGCAATAAGCCGGTAGGGTGCGGCGTTGCAATTCTCAACTCGCTCAGAGAGGGCGCTATATAAAGCATTTAAAGTGGAGAATGAGTGTCAAAATCAGTTTAGCGATTTATTCAGCATGTGTTTATTGTTGTAATCCACGTAAGAATACTCAGAACGCTTTAAACGAACTATTATTTATTCCAGTTGCATACTCAAACTTGAATCAGCATTGCTTGACCCAAAGATGGCTATAGTCTCAGTATATCTTTAAGTCTTTGAAAGACTTAATGCAGTAGGCTATAGAGTAGGTAAAAAAAGTAAGCCTTTACAGTATTAACATGCATGTATACTTTCAGTGACAAAAATGAATGTGGAACATGAAGTTACACTGCTCGTTGATGAGATTCGTCGACTGGGCAGTACAAGTAAGTCTCGTGCTATTTTTGATCAACATCATTGTTAGGGATAAAGTCTGCATGGGACCGCAGGTGAAAATAATAATTTTTGCCTATTTTCCCCATTACAAATGATAAATGAAAATTGTCACAAATGTATTATTGTTCAACTTATTGGTTTGGAGGCCTAGATATAATGCATAAACTTAATATTTCATATTTATTCTACACCATAACATTTCTCCAAAACATTTATTTTCAGGTTTAAATTAGAAATTAGATTTTGTATTTCAAACGTCCATATCTATAAACATACGTTGGTGGATAAAATTAATTACGATTTTTAATGTTTTTGAAATAATTCTTTTATGCTCACCAAGGCTGCATTTAATTGGTCAAACATGCAGTAAAACATTAATATTGTGAAATATTACAATTTAAAAGAACTTTTTTCCATTTTAATATATTTTTAAAATGTCATTTACAGCCATTACTTAAGTCTTCAGTGTCACATGATCCTTCAGAAATCATCACTTTAATATATTGTATATTATATAACCTGTTGAAATCTACATTCATTCACATGTATGCACTAAGATGGCTTTACACATCATAATTTACTAACAATGCAGGTCTTGATGCTTCTTTAGATGAGGAGTTCTGGATAAATAGGAGCAGTACTGTTCATACTGAAATATCAAGTCCTTATATCAGAAGTGCACGTTTACTTTCTATTAGTTGACATACTGTACTGTACTCTCAATACTCTACGGTATTTACTCAAACCAGGCTAATGATTCCTCATACTGCTCGTTTTTGAGATTTGCTAACACTTATTCTATATTGTTTTGGTGCTTTATTAAGTACATACAGTAAATGTTAATTGGATATTCAGGGTTGCTATTGATGATGATTTAGAGCGAACCCTGACCATTCTCACTGTCTCAGACGCAGATGGGAAGATCAGTGTCAAATTTGGAGTCTTGTTTAATGATGACCAATGTGCCAACCTCTTTGAAGCTTTGGTCGGAACGCTGAAAGCGGCCAAGCGAAAGAAGCTCATCACATTCGAAGGGGAGCTCTTACTGCAAGGAGTTCACGACAACGTTGATGTCATATTACTGCAGGACTGAATCTACAGTCTTTTCTAAACTCAAGTAAAAAGTACAAATGTGTTTTTGACATGTCATTGCTACATTTTTGATATGGAAATATATACTTGAGAATGTAAAATTTTTGTATACTGGATTGGAATATTTTTATACAGCAACTTTTTCTCTCTCAGGGGAGTGATCTGCACAGTTTTTTTTTTTTTAAAGTAGCAATCTTCCCTGTTCAGTCAGCTCAACGGCTAACAATTATAGTGTGCATGATCATGTTACTGGTTTTCTGGGATTGAATGAATTAATCAAATACTTTTTTCAACCTAACGGAAATGAATATCCACGCAGGTTAATATCAGTTTTACAGATTATACCTCTGATGTCCTATTCTGACTGTATTGATTGTAGACTGCATAATTGCTGTCTTTTACTGTAATCATGAGGTTGTTTGTTTGCAGTACCATTACTGTGAAATTATTCATGGTCATTCAGGTTATATGTGCTATAACATCTCAAAGGCTGATAAACATAAATAGTAAGTAACATTTATCTGCTGTATGATTTTCTGGAATTAAATGTTTAAAAAAAAAAAAAAGTTCAACAAATCATCTGAACTGTTCCAGTGTGATATTCGGGTTTATAAAGCTCTTGCCAAAACATCCTCACATTGTACTTGTGCTGTTTTTGTTATTTATGTCTGTACAAATGTTATAAGGCTCCCAATAGTGTAGTTTGTGCCATTTCATGCTCAGGAAGACCTTAGCGTGAGGAGCAATATGAAATAAAGACTTCAACAATTAAATAGAGCTTGAATCACACTGTCTGTAAATAGATGCCCCTTCATGAATTTGGTGAAGGTTTGCTTTATTCAAATGTTTCTCATGTTAATTTTCGGGTTTACTTTTGAATTCAGTCGTTCATTTTTATGTTAGAATGCAAAACATTGAACCCCATGCAAAATAACATGAATTTATTTAATTACTATTTTTTAGTGTATAAGGCATTGTAATCTGCATTACATATATGTTACCTTAAAGGAACAGTTCACCCAGAAATTTAAATCCTCTCCCTCATGTTGTTCCAAGCTCAATTTTTTTTTCCTGAGACACAAAAGATGTTCGCCTTAGTCACCGGCGTTCACTTTCGTTGCATCTTCTTTTCACCTACAATGAAAGTGAATCATTCTAACATTTCTTTTTCTGTTCCACTGAGGAAAGAAAGTCGATTGAGTATGATGTACCTTGCCATTTACAAGGTGAGCGAATCCACTATTCACACTCAAAAGGGGCTGGTTCTCATTTACTTTTCATATAAAAAAAAATATTAGTGTGAAAAGTGTTATTGTGCATCAGTGTTCCATATATTTCTACAGTTTATTCTGCATCAGAAAAATTTCTCAGCTCACAAGTTTTACAGAGTTCAAATTATCGGTGTTGACTGGAGCGACAGCGGGTCCGCCGAGCGACAATAGAAGCGGTAAGTTAAGAAGAACGTCACTTCAGTGAATGTTCTACCGAACGGTACGTTTCCCTGAACGTGCGCGAGCGAGCGTTACCTTCCTTTTAATGTTCTCTCACTTGCAGCAACTTGTTTTGTGCGCGTCATCGCCATCAGAATTGTTACGACATTGCATGGAGATTTCCGTGTTTTCACTTACCGTCCTGCACAAGGTGGTTGCGTAGGCCTTGTTCAAGGGTAGATGCACCTGGCAAGGAGTTGCATGTGATTTGGAGATCAGTGTTGTGTAATGACAGGTCGTATCACCCTAATGATGTGCAGTTAGAGTGTTTAATAATGCATAGAATGGCTTTGGCTCTTGAGGTAATGGAAGTGGTATCTATCTTTGAGTGGCAGCTATGAATAATGGAATATTTGCAGCAAGAGCTGTTGAATATTAGGGCACAGGTAATATTTAGTACTACAGCATGATTATTACTATTTATTGACCGATAACTCCAGTAGGTTTTAGGCAAATTGTATGTCTTCACCGCGAACAAAAATAGTTCTGAAAACTTTTGCTGGTCACTAGTGATGCATAAAAAAAATCTGGACTGGAACCGTTTTTATGAGTGGAGCGGATCGACAGGGCTGTTCCTAAATGCGTTAGAAAGTGCTTTAATCACCTGACTCCACTCCATGTTTTCACTTTAACACGCTCAGTGAGAGAAACCCAGTCAGAGCGATTATTGAGCCAGATAAAAAAAGAAACATTTTTTTGTTGCTGCAGCTGAATTTATACAACTTTGCTTAAGTGCATGAGAGAAAACACATTGACATTTGTCACTCTATACTTACATAGTCTGGATTGAAAGGTAGTGAACAATAAGAATTCACACAGAAGAAGCAGCGCTGTCCAATAGGGCTGAACGATTAATTGCATTTGCGATAATATCGCGATATGAAAAAACACGATTTTTCAATCGCAGAGACTGCGATTAGACTCGGTCACGTGTCACGCCAGAGTAAAGAGGTGTGTTCCGCTTGAAGATCGATCGGTGTAGCCTTTGACATCAACACTTTAATAACATCAGTGCTTAAGACAAATCACTTACATTTATTCATTTGGCAGACGTGCATTTTTGTGCAATTTTGTCACTATCAAATTTATGACATCACTTTTATATTTATTTAATATTAAGCAAAAATATACATTAGGGATTCACAATACATACGTTCCGTATCGGTAGCTTGACAATATTTATTTATTTTCCATCATTATTGGTTAGATTTAGATTACTTTTGCCATCTTCTAACACTCATTTAAAGGTAACCTTTTAAAACCCTAATAATTCAATAACATTGTGAAGTGAAATCTTACACTAATCTCATAATGAATTATGAATTTTATTTATTTTGTATTGTTTTATTTTGTATTTATTTAAAAATAAATTGTATAGAATTTAATATTTAATATTTAATTTCCCATTTTTGTGGTTAGCAAATTTTTAGTATCGATGTTTTTACAGTAGTGATGTTATCAATATCCCTAAAACAAAAATATCAGTTATTGCCTTGTTTTTAGTCTTGGTTTACATTGTCATTTCTTTCATAGTCTCTTTTGCCCTGGTTAGAAAAAAGTTTGACGACTTTTTTGGAACATTGCAGGCTCACTGTTAATGGTTGATATAGCAAGAACAGCAAAAACATTTCCATTCCCAGCTTTTCCATTTTTATTAAATAACACTGAGCTGAGACAGTTCATAAACTGTGCATGATAATAATTTTACCACTGCAAAAACAATTCAAGCACCATTAAGTAGCATTTGAGAATGAAATATGACTGTCGTTGAAGACTAAATCAAGGTTTTGAGCAAAGAACCAAAAACATCAATTACTTTGAGTTGATTGGGAATAGAGCGAATCCTTTTCTTCTTCTAATAAAGAAGCAAAGCAGCTGTGACCGATAATAATGCTTTGATCATGGCATATCATTAAAACCCATTAGAATATATTTTCATTAATTAGAGTCTAATTGCAGTTGAAAAGGGTTTTCTGTTTATGTTCTAAAGGGAGGCTGATGCACCTTTATGCCATCTGTGTGGACTGCCTGGAAGGAGTGCACAAAATCGTGTGTATAAAGTGCAAATCCAGGTGGGATGGAAGCTGGCACCAGCTGGGCACAATGTACACATACGACATACTGGCTGCATCACCATGCTGCCAGGTAATCAGTTTGTTTGTGCTCATAAATTATATACTTTATAGTTATATATATAAATAGCTAAAGTTCTGTTTTAAATGCACTACAACTCTCTGTCTGCCTAGGCCCGGCTGAACTGCAAGCATTGTGGGAAACCTGTCATAGATGTACGTGTGGGCATGCAGTATTTCTCTGAGTACAGCAATGTACAGCAGTGTCCTCACTGTGGCAATCTGGACTATCACTTTGTAAAGCCATTCTCCTCGTTCAAAGTTCTCGAAGCTTATTGACAAAAGTTGCATTTGCATGCTAGTATTTTCCCCTGTTTTTTCTATTGATAGAATTACTTATTTTGGGCTCTTGTCAACACTTTGTGTGGAATTAGGAACAAAATAGAAAGAATCAAAGCATACGATGCTGATCGACGGAGAGCGTGTCTTTTATTAAGGGAAAGAGGGTGTGCTTTTGCATATATTCTAACGCCATCCTTGAAATGTTTGAGCTTGCATTTAAAAAACAAAGCAACAATACTGTGACAAGTGAATGTATCTCTGTATGCCAAATTTGCTCTTTTGTACAAGAAAACAATAAAATACATAAAAGGATACTTCCTTTCTCAGAGTAATTATTAATTATTCCACGGCTTGGTCAGTTATCTTTTTGATCTCAATCTCATCCGCTCAGGGCCTGACTACATAATTCCCGTTTTCCATATCAAATAGCAATGCTCAATGAACATCATTATTGCAGATGAAGCAGCTTCTTTGATAAAATAATGAGAAGGCTCTCTCTCATGTGGACAACCTTTGGTTTGTGAATCTTGGAAGACAAGGACATTTACTGAGTGAGAGAAATAAATCAATTTTTAGATCAAATTTAAATGTACTAGAACAATTTGTGGAAACTCTTGTGGAACAACAAACTCTTTTGGAAACAGTAACTAAGGCATGGTTGTTATTGTCTAATAATAAATCATCACTAAAATGCATTCATACAACAAGCATCTATAATATGTGTAGTTAACGTCTAGCAGACCGTTAGATCTGCTGGACAGTTGGCTATGATTTTTCTGCGAAAAATAACTATTTTAAAGCCTTATAAATATGTCAAAGATTACATCTCTTCTGCCATACAAAAGCCAAACACAGTAGCTACACATTACTACTATGTACAGTAACTCAAGATTAAATGATCTAATGCGTACACAGTTGTCAACACAAAGCTTAGTGAACACTATTTTCAATGTGTATTTTTAAATGTCTTTATATTGTATGCTTCAGGCTAAAGGTCAAGTTAAGTACAGACCCGCTGGCTTCCTCATTCCCACTCATGGCCATAACTGCTGCTCCTAATATAAATTCACATTCTGTTAGAAGCCAGGACTGCCTGCAGGTATAACTCAGTATTCTCTGACTTGATCTGAATCTTATCATTTTTAACAAAGTGTAGTTTGTTCCTACAGAACAAATGTATTTGGGTGTGCTTGTGTATTTGTATACACAATAGAGAATAGATATATTTGGATATATCTATTCAAACCTGCAGTGCTTTAGTATGTGTATAAGGTACAGAAAGGCGGCTTCTTTGTGTATTTTGGAGGGATGCTGTACAACCAAAATATATCCAAACGATATATCTATTCAAACCTGCAGTGCTTTAGTATGTGTATAAGGTACAGAATGTGTAACCCAGAGTGGAAAATTATGTGAAGGCATTTTGTATTGACCTGCATTTATATATATATAAATGCAGGTCAATACATATTCACTTGCAGGTATAGACACTGAATCATTTTGAACAGTGTAAGCATTAAAGCTGCTTGCCTTTTTAGGCTGTTGCCATGGAAACTGCTGCTTGAGTAAAAATCATGGTGTGCAATAGGAGTTATTGTATGCCAGTGACCAGCAGTTAACATAATTCATCATCAATCTAACTTATTTTGAAAATCCTTTTATTAGAAGATGCCCAAAATGTAATTTGGGGTTCTTGCTAAGGAAATAATCACTATTATTATTGCTCATACTTTGTTCTAAACTTAAACTTGAAGCACATAACCTGTCTCGCTGCATTTGTGCCATCAACATTAATATTTTTTTCAAATTGTGTGGATTATTGAGAAGATGTGTGCTTTTTTAGGAGTGTGTGATATTTATCGTCTACAATAATATCATAATTGTTGTTTTAACGATTTGCGAGCTGAGATTATGAAGTATCACCCACTTTGCAAAAACAAAAACAACCCCACTCCCCCCAAAAAAAAACACACTTTGAGAGTCCACATAATTAAAGTTATGAAAGCAAAAAATATCCCTGTATGTTTTTTAATAATAATGTATGATATAGTTAAGTAATAACACATAAGCAAAAGTGCTGTTTTCCCTAACATCAGCATGTGAGCGAATTCGCAAATGTGATATTGATTTTATAGACCGTATGCCTCAGGGAAACAAGCGCGCAGTTAACTTTAGAATTCTGTCTCTGAACTTCCGTTTTTACGGTAGCTCTATAGCATCACTGTTAAAGAGTAGCTAATTAGCTGGTGAAGTGGATTGTAATGTTTGAAGCAGATGTCATAATGTCAGTAGACTGGGAAGATTTTAAAACGAGCGGTTCATTCAGAAATTCGTACGACCTTACCTTCACACTGTAAAAAAAACAATGCGGAAGACAGAGGACAACAAGTGCAGTGCTGAAAAGGTGCACGGCTAAGTAAGAGATACACAACAATTCAACAAACTTTTAATCAAAACTCAAAGTTAATATTGAATGAGTTACATTTTAGAAACAGAATTGTCCATATTGAAAGTCTTTTTTCTCTTTCGCCATCGAAAATAGTTAAAAAAAAGCTGGAGCAGAACAAATTTGTGGCCTGTGATATTTCGTTCCTGAATGAATCTGTTTTTGAACAAATCGAGTGAGCTAATGGTTCAGTCATTCATTCATAAAGACACTCATATTCACTTGTACTGAGAATGAGGCAAAAGTGGGCATTTCTGACTTTGATTTTGGCCTTTTCTCAAATGGAAGGCTGAATCCTCCGAGGTCGCATTTGCAGGCTGCATACGTCATAAAGCCTGGTTTATTTCAGTTAACTGAGCATGACATTCGCGAGTCATAAGCATATTACAACAATTTACACTTAACTAATAATAATAATATGTTTAATTTATATAGCGCCTTTCCCAAGCTCAAGGACACTGTACAAAAGCAGTAACACAATAGACAGTCGATAAAAAAAAAAAAAAAGATTTCTATGAAGAATTTCAGTCAGGTTTCAGGCCCCACCATAGCACAGAAACTGCACTTGTTAAAATTACAAATGACTTGCTTCTTGCATCAGACCAAGTGCATCTTAGTGCTGTGTTTGACACCATAGATCATGACATACTCATAGATCGATTACAAAACTATACAGGTATTCAAGGGCAGGCTTTAAGATGGTTTAGATCCTACCTGTCCGATCGCTACCACTTTGTTCATTTAAATGGGGAGTCATCTCAATTATCACCAGTAAAATATGGAGTGCCACAAGGATCTGTCCTAGGTCATCTGCTATTTTTAATATACATGTTGCCCCTTGG